AAGTGTTAATTGCGTTTTGAATCTGATTGCATAAATGAAAAGCCTCTCCCAAACCAAAACGGGCATCAGTTTCCTGCTGTTTATTTCCCTTTTCTTTTGCAATTTTCAGGGCTTTATCATAGTGATAAATTGCAGGTTGAAACTGATTACTTAATTTATAGGCAAGTCCTAGCCCAAGGGAAGCTTCGAGAACTTGCAGTTTATCATCACGTTCTTCTGCGATTTCCAAAGCTTTCTGGTAGTGCTCAATTGCTCTTGGAAACCGACTACTTGATTCATATACTTCTCCTAACCCAAGGTAAACCTTACCTTCCTGCTCTTTATCGTTTCGATCCTTGGAAATTTTACAGGCTTTCTCATAGTATGTAATTGCTTTATCATTTTGATTATTATATTTGCAAGCATATCCTAACCCCAGATATGCCTCTGCTTCTTGCCGTTTGTCACCTCTTTCTTTAGCCAGTTCTAAAGCTTTCGTGTAGTATTCCGTTGTCATTTTGTGTCTCGGCACTTGATTCAAAATAGTTACAGAATTTCACTAATTCTTAGTTCCTTCTATGTTTGATTTCTTTTAAGGGTAATTAATTTATTTGTTTAATGCTTTTTAATTTGTTGTCACGCTGTTCAATTCATTTCAGTTTCTTATAAGAATTCGCGGCAAATAGAAATAGAAATAGAAATAGAAATATGGTCTGTTTGCAGTAATGTTTGCTATTTGCTTCACAAGACAGTTATGAACTAAAACTGAAGTTCAAAATGGAGATACTGCTCTTCATGTCATCGCGAACTATTTAATTTAGCTTGACGGTACTGTGCGTTTCTGTGAAAAGGAAAATGTCATAAAAATAAATAAGTATATACTCTTGATTGTCAGAGAGTAGGCTTACCATTATTGAGACATTACTGATTGAAGTTGCAGTACATAGTCATGTGCTCGTTGTTGGTCATGTGCTCGGTGTTGTGGTTAGTCATGTGGTTAGTCATGTGCTCGGTGTTGTGGTGTTGTGGGGGGGGCTCATATTTATATACTCGTGTTTACAGACTATAAAAACAATCGATCTCAAAAGAAATTAATAACGCAGAACACAAATATATGAATTTGAGCCCCCCAATTATCGAGCTTGATACGGCACTGATTCCTTATTCATGAATTTAATATTGGATCAGACAAGGAGTAACAAATTAACTACCGATTTATGTTTTGCTGGGGTGACCAGCTATTCCGACTTGGTTGGCTCCCACTCAATGGATTACTATCGCATTAAACGCTCTTGTAGCAATTTAAACACATTTATTAGACCTAACCATGCAGGAAAAGTTGCACAAAATGCAACTACAGGTGCCAGGGAGCGGTAGTATAAAAAAGTGATTAAAGTTAATCATAGTTAAGTGGAAATGTCATCCGATAATTAGAAGCGCCTATTTGAGAGTTAATCACTATTTAACTACAAAATAGTGATTAAAAAAGTGATTAAGAGTTTTATACAATCGGCCCCAGGTAGGAATACCCAGGTAGGAATAAAACCAGCGGCCCTGCGATTCCGAAGCAGCACTTTAACAAACTGAGCTACAGACGCCAGTTGTCGAGGTCTAAACACAGGTTCATGTAAATGTAACTGCTGTGCCGGCCAAGATATTTTACACGTGATTCAGCGAAGTCGTTGGCATAGCCAGCCCGACGATTCGGTCCCGCTATGCAAATATTGCCACGTTTATAACCTATCAACACAATCAATTTTTAAGAAATGAATAATGATAAATATTTGAATAAGAATTGAATATTCCACTGTGCAAAATTTGCCCCCACTGAGTTTTAGCTGGAAACAGGTTTTGCTTCTCAGAAAGCTGCTCCATTTACTGTTCGGAGTACTGTGGATTTTCGGAGCACTAATGGAATGGAACAGAAGAGAGTGACATGACTGTTCTAGTCAAGTATGGGAAAGCCATCTAAATTTGGCTATTACTTAGGCACCATTCATTATTTATGACCGGGGGTGGGCTGGCAAAATTAAATTAACAACTGAACAAAATGTCCTGCCCCACCCCCTGCATGCATCACAAAAATATTCAATGACCCCTTCACATGAATTCTAGTGACAGTAACAAATGGCTTTATTAGCATGACTTCACATACAAGTATTGCTAAAGCTTATTAGTCAATTATAAATATTTACAAATGCAAAATGTTTTGTGATAATATGACACTATGAGTAATACAAGAAATAAAAATGTAGTTATTGATATAAAGAAAGGCATAGTTAACAAATGAATACTCTATTTACAGTATATATGTAATTGAAGATGTTTGGGAGTTAGTTCGATAGTCTATTGACTGTCAGCATTCCAAGCTTCAAGGTATTTTAATTAGATCTCTTCTCAAAACATATCACAGTTTCTTTATCAGTTGATTTCATTATCTCAACTGATAAACTGTGTTCGTTTCAATCTGTTTCATTGGTGTGATCACTTTCCAAGTCATTTAAAAAGTTTTCTCGAAGACTACTATAGGCTTCACAGGATGTTAGGAAGTGATGTTCCGTTTCTATTTCTCCTGCCTGGCAGACCTTGCATATTTGGTCTTCTCGCGGAATGTTTTCGTATCTACCGAGTTCAATCATTAGTTTATGGTTACTTAGTCGGAGCTGTGTTAAACGTTTTCTTTGGTTTGAATTAGTTATGGTAGTCAAATAAGTTTCAAGCTCATAGACTTCCTTTATGCTTGTGTAGAAGGTAAGTTTGGATGAGTTTTCAAGTTTCTGTCTCCAGAATCTCTGGTAGTTTTCTTTAGTATCTTTAACGCATGATTCAACTAGATTGGTTGTAAGTGAATCTAGGTTTGGGATTGCTCTATTATAATTTAAGGTTTTCACTATATCCATTGCTCTTCCATAGAAATAATTGCTCTTTTTAATAAATAAATCTTTTGATATGAGGAAAGCTTTCAGGAAGTGAGTTCAGATGAGTGACGTACTTGAAGATTCTTTTGAATACATTGATAATTAATGGATATTTTCTAAAAAAATAGCAACCTCCCCCCTCCCCTCACACACCACAAGTAAAAACATACGTAGAGTGCACTGAGGCGCAGTTGGTTAACTAGAGACATTGTCAGATTTTTTGGTTAACCCATTAAGCTGCAGAGCGCCGAAAAGGCTGAAGCTGGGAGTAATACCATTTTTCGTTACTAAAAGTGCAGTAAAAAGTTGCTCAAAAAAGAAAAAGGGTAATTTATAAAGGGTAATACAGTGCTGTAGGAAGCTCTTTTTGATTGGGAGCTGAAAGCGAGGGCCAAAGCCCTGGGGAAATTTTAAATTAAAAGTCTCTGAAAAGCCATTTCCTGGACTTTAGGGAAGATTTGACAGAATTGTGATGGTCACAAAACAGCATTTTAGTATGTCAAAATTTTCAATTTATTAGCACTAAATGGGCGAAGGCGCATTTACTTAACCATATATTGGATAAGTTGCAGGAAAGCACGAGCAATATCTTCATTCATTGCAGTTTCTCATGGATTATGTAGCCGCTTAAATTTAATCAATTGTCAGTATTTTAAAGGTATATTATTTAAATGATAAAGGTCTGCATGATTTTGGAAAACTATGAGAATGATTATTAGCAATCTGCGGCCCTTTGTTAGGAGTAGGGTTAGGGTACTACATCAATGAACTACAAAGACCGCTAAACAGCTAGCGACATTTGACTTGGGCTCGGATTTGACTCGGACTTGACATGGTAAACCGACAAGCTCCTTACTAAATTAAACTTATAAATTAAAATACCTAGTATAAACTAGTCTATATAGTATATGCCAAACTTTTCCCTGGACGTAATGTTGCTACATCGCTTACTCGTTGATTATCTTTTTTATTAAAATGTACATAATTGAAATATGACAAAAATTTATGGCAAGTTCATGGCAAAAGTTATAAGGTAGATGTTCGATTATTTTTCATATTGGCTGTACGCATTGCATCTTGGGTATTTTTGCATTGGATTTTGGGTCTATCTGTTGATTGAAATTGAGAATTCTGCTAGCTATACATGCATGAATTAAATTTGCTGCCTTGCTCACTCTCTGTGGTAGCAATAGTCGTTACATGTCAAATTTTTCTCCACTATAATAAATAACTGGACCCCCCCCCTTTGAACAAATATTTTTAGGTGGCCCCTCTTTTTCAGTCAAAAATACCTCATGACTCACACCCTTTTTTGCCAGCCCAGCTGCAGTCATAAACAATGAATGGTCCCTTAGAAAGAGATTTACCGCCAACCATACTTCTTTCCCCTACTGTATATGGCAATGGATTTCATGTCTACACACATAATTGCCATTATACCAGTCTTAAAAATAAAAAATAAAAATTAGAAAATTTAAAGGAAATTCTGTATTTCTTTTAAATTTTCTAATATTTTTTCTTTGAGTTTTGTCTACACCACGAGTAGTTCCTCGGAGAAAGGAGGGACCGCCGACAATACATCACGAAACGAAATACGCCCACTTTTCGCTCTTGTCAAAGTGGCTCCGCCTTTGCATAAACATTACTTATATCCAATTAAATCTATCCAATAGGAACCGTTAATGTCATGTTTATTTACAGTATAAAAAATGTAATCGAACTTCGGCGCGCTATTTACCTACCGCGCTATTTACCTCGATTACCTTTATAAAACCTGTATAAAATCTTTATAAAATCAACCTGTATAAAAATCAACATTCACTCTGGAAATTATTTATAGCATAATTACTACATATCAGATTTGATTGACAGGCGTATCGATTTCGCCAATGGGAATTTTGCGTTGGGTCGGCAACGGGGATTTCAGCTTTGATGTGTTGTCTGCAGCCCTCCTTTCCTTTCGCATGCCCGGAAATCTAAACCCACGGAAAGGAGGGACCGCTCGCAGTCTAAGTTTTGTCCCATGAGTACAAGACCTTGTGTCCTTACCCAACCATTAACTCAAAGCAATTAGAGCTGTCAAATTACTACAATAATTATAGCTAATTTGAATTTGAAAAGGTTCAGTTTTTTTTATAAACACTAAAGAACGTAATATATGGACATGGGGTAATAGTATAGAAATTGGAGTGAACGTCGACAAATCTTACAAAAACAATGTTTTTTGTGGCAAATTAATACAATGGCGAGGTTGGCATATTAAGCAATACTAGTTAACATGCACAACTCGACGTTAGCGAACGAATATTCAGTTATGTTAATAATGTACATTGGGTCGCCACCAACCTATATGAACATGGCTTTGTGATTGGTTGATGATAACAATAAAAGACAATGAACTACAGAAATTATCTTTCTAAGAAACGAGTCATAAACACTGATCACTATTTTTTTCATGAAGTCAATCACAAAACACAACATTGTAAGTTGGCATTTACATTTATGCAAATATACGTGTTTTTTTAAATCATTTCAACTGTAGCCTTGGCAGACGATTTACATGTGATTGCATGCAACCGTTCTGCAGTCAGTTCAGCAATTTTGAGTAACATTTTATTCTGCGTGCATATACCTGTGCTGAGTAGAAGCATTGAATTGTTAGAAGAAGTGAGATATATCAGTTTAAATAACGAAATAAACCATGCACTGTTAACCGCGAGTCTATTACTTGAACGTTTATGCAAATTATTATTCCTGACAACAGCATGCCCCCAAGCAAACATCCAAAGGGCACGTATGGAGGGAGTATTGTTTCCCAATCTTGTGTGGTCTGCGTTCATGCAATGGTCGCGCCTTTTTCAATTAATTAGAGCAATGTCAACATCTGTTTTGGAACTTAACGGGGAAAAGTGTCGAGTCTTTACTGCAGATTGTACGTGATATAGGCCCAACAGTTTCACTCGCAAACGAGGAGAGGGGATAGAAAACAGATTCACTATACTTTTACAGTTTACTTTTAACCATGCATTTTGAACGCGAGTCTGTTAGTGAGAGTTGTATAGACTATTATTCCTGATAAAAACATGCGCCCAATCTAATAACCCAAAGCTAAAGAGAGCTAACTTTCCTTTCTGTAAATATAATTGCATTGTATATAGGACACTTCAAGTTGCTCAGGCTTATCTAATTATGCGCCATGTACTTTAGATTTGTGTAAACAATTATTATGAGGCTAGTCTTCGGTTGACGAATTGACATTAATTAGTTATGTGTGGATGTCCCAACAAAAAGTGACACTACAGTATAGAAATTAGCCTGGTAATTGAAATTCAATTCAATTGTGTTTTCGCACTCGGCGTTTTTTTCATGGCAGGCATTCAAATTATAACAAAAGCACAATTTTTATAGTGTCACTTCTTGACGATTAGATTATATTAGTTTACTCACTAGACGAAAGCTCATTATGTACTGTCTCAACCAACCAGCAAGCCTGTTTTTAAGAGTTTCGACGCATAAGTACGTTGGTTTTGGAACGTCATAATAATTATGATGATCGTATACGTCTGGTTGACGACAATTCATATTTTTTCGTCTCGACCAATAAGCAAGCGAGTTTAAGCGCGTTTGTCGTTCAGTTAATGAGGCTATTCGTACGCTTTCGTTCAGTTGTGATTGTTAACTATTAAACTGTTAATGGATATACCTTGTAGAGTTTGTACATTAATTTATTTCGAATTTGCAGAAATAAAAGTATTAGTGTTCAAGCTAAAAAGGGTTTATCCAAGGTAAACAAATGCGTCAAAGACATTGCAAGAACATGTATTGAAGTCTGCAATTTTAATTTTAGCCTGTATATTTTAATATATAAGTAATAAACATATATTAAATTGATATTAAAGTAAACAGGGACGAATGCAATAAAACACATTTTCTTAAGACTTTGCTTTCAGTCGCCATTATATCCTTGTCAAGATATAATGCATCATTTCACAGAGTTTTACCATCAAGATGGCGACTAAAAATTATGTGTGTTACATCAAATCTTCTATATAACTTAATTGTTTTACACAATGCGGCTTTAAAAGGCGAATTACCTTAGTAGTCTCCGTGTGTTTCAAGCCCTTAGGGCGACTTAATATCCTTTTATTCGGCGCTTTTTTTTCGCGACATTCCTCACAATGCACTTGGTCGAAAGAATCTCAGATATTTCGGAGTAATGAATGATGAACGGAAATTAATATTTGATAGGCCTATTTGTATTTAAGATATTCATTTGGTTCACTTAAAGCAAAGTGAAACCAAAATCACAGCATGATTAAAGACACGGTATATTATCTTAATTTTAACTTGCGTATTACACAAGACTACATGCAGTCACATGAAATGATCTTCTGAGAAAAGTGATAACATATAACGGCCTTTCCTATAAGTCTATATGTGCATATATTTCGTGTCGTATAGTTAGGCTACATGTATAGTATATAAAAAATCTCATGGCGTTCACATTATGGGGTCGAGTGGGCTTGTATCATACGATTAGGAATTATGTCGCCTGGCAATTTTTTCTCAGTTTCATGTTCGTTTTACAATCAAATTAATTGATATTCTTCAATTCAGTCAGCGAATTAAATCATTATAAACACATCACAAAAGAAATAAATACTGTCCGTACTCGTCTCAATATCTAGACGAGGGGATAATTAGTAGCCACATATCAACAGGCCCAATTACTTATGAAGATGGACGTTTATTCAACGCCCATTTTATTTACTGATAACTTTACACAATATAAGAAAGCTCTTATTAGTAATCCTTTTAGTTTGGCTGACATTCTAACGCAATTCCTATTCGTAAAGTTTGTTAGGGTAAGATTCTAAAGTGGGAAGGTTAAGGAAAATGGAATAACTTGAAAATGGTTTCTTACTTACCTAACTTCATGGCTTGAATTTGACAAATAATTATCAGCCAAAAAACATCGTGCA